GGGCTCAAACAGAAACTAACATTCACACAGATTCATACACTGGCAGAACAGCCAGTTCAGAACAGGGGCAATTCAGGGTTCAGTATCTTGCCCAAGGACACTTCGACATGCAGCCTGGGGGAGCCAGGATTGAACCAACCTTCCGATTAACAGCCAACCCGCTCTACCTCCTGAGCCACAGCCGCCCCGATAAGTGGCTGTGGCTGTGCGATAAGGCAGCACTAAGCTGCATATCATGCCTGGTAGTTTACCCTGCCTTTTGATTACCACCTCCAGTCAAACAATAGTGTCCATTTTAATTATTATGATAAAGTTAAACTTAATTTTCACTCTACACCAGACTGAAATTAAATTATCTCCAGGTGTCCCAAGAAAATAGTCATTTATCCTTGCATGTACTGTAGTTCACAGTGAAAATAAGCTGTTGAATCCATAAGTTTTCTTTTCAGCTTCGTCTCTGCACATGGACATGTATGAAACGGTGTGACAGCGCATGTAAATGAAATCAGCATAGAATTAGCATAAAATAAGCTGCTAGGAGGGAAGCTGGAGATCGGGGAGAACAACCTCTGCTGCTGTGACATATAGATGACCTACCCCTGCCGCTTTGTGTTGCTTATCGGACTCTCGCAAATGTTTCACATCCACAGAGATGAAATAACAGAGAGAGAGAGAGAGTCACATTATTTATATTCATAATGTTTTCTGGACACTAAATTATAGCTTTGTACGTGTTCAGGGGAGCAGGTGTGGGACTGACTGATATGTGTTGTTTACAAAGCCATGGATGTTCTGCTCCCCTGAACACATAAAAAACCAAAAATTTTGTGTCCATAAAACATTCTAAACATAAATAATTAAAATTGAAAATATGAATTTGAGATTTTGAATGTTTTTCTGGCTGGCACATTTTTTTGACAATCAAACCACTTTTGTACTTTTCTTGTGATTGTCATTGTTCTGAATGTGAATAAATTAGTTATTGATTCCATAAACTGACAAATCTCTGCTTTGATAACAACTATTACTGTATATATCATACAGATAGTGATCAAATAGCTCATCACTATGGAGATTTGGTCCATTCCTTGGTATAATGATGGCTTTGCTGTTTCATCTTACTGACAGCGATACTTTTTTATGGGAATGGCAGCTCTGCACCCTTCTGCATCTAAGGCAGTGAATTCAGTCATACATACAGATGCTCACCGTGAACAGTATAGGGGAAGGTACTTCATATGCTTGGTCTGAAACATGCATCAAATATGATCTCATAGGGGCTTCATCTCTTCCTTTCAAGAGAAAAACATCCCTGTAGGCCTAGCTTAATGCATGTGTTATTCTTGTGATAAATCAGGCTGTCTGTCTGCTGTTAACAAAGGCTTGTTAAGATTCAACCTTCAGCAGTATGAATTTGACAAAATCTGATGGTGTTTTAAGATAACCCACAAAGAACCATCTGACCTTCAACTCTGTCAGGATTCCCTGTCCTGGGTTCCTGTGTTGGTACTGTATCTAGGTCCCCAAGAGAGAACTGTATTGATCAGTGCGCTGCATTGGATGTGTGCCGCTAACGCTTGAGAATGTTAAAAGCTGACTTTGTATAGTGTGTTACGAGGCCAAGCTCTCTCAAAGTCACTGTCTACATCCTGCCATTTGAGACTTTTTTTTTCATATCCTTATGTTTTTGTTGAGCGTATGCAAACACATTTTCCATCTGGTTCAAACGCAGTGTCTTTCCGTGAATGAGTGTCCCAGTGATTGTGAGTTATGACTTAGATTGTGAGTTATGACTTAGAATGTTTTTGTGCTGCACATTCATAGTGCAGAATCAGAATTAGAAGGAGCTTTATTGCCAAGTAGTGTATTACACATATGAGGAACTTGCTTTGGTGATAAGGTGCTACACACAGACAAACATACAGTTGACATAAATAAATGTAGAAATAGAGAAAGAACAAAAATATATAAATTGACAATATAAAAATATACAACAACAAAGATTTACAATTAACAGCAAATATGTGCAATGTGCCAGGTTTGTGCATGATATGAAATTAAATAATATTTACAAGTGCATAGACAATTGTATTATTTGAAAGGGGGGAGTGTCAGTGAGGGACCCGGGCCTTGTTAATGAGCTGCAGACGGGAAGAAGCTGCTTTTGTGGCGAGAGGTTTTGGTCCTGATGGACCGCAGCCTCCTGCCAGAGGGGAGAGTCTGAAACAGTTTGTGTCCAGGGTGGGAGGAGTCAGCTGCAATCTTTCCTGCTCTCCTCAGAGTCCTGGAGGCGTGCAGGTCCTGAAGAGAAGGAAGATTGCAGCCAGTCACCTTCTCTGCAGAGCGAATGATACACTGCAGCCGGCCCTTGTCCCTGGCAGTGGCAGCAGCGTACCAGATGGTGATGGAGGAGGTGAGATGGACTCAGTGATGGTGGTGTAGAAGTGCACCATCATTGTCTTTGGCAGGCTGAACTTCTTCAGCTGCAGCAGGAAGTACATCCTCTGCTGGGCCTTCTTGGTGAGGGAGGTGATGTTCAGCTCCCATCCTGAGTCACAGGATGATGGGGGAGGGTGGGGCTGTGCTTTTTCTGAAGTCCACGACCATCTCCATGGTCTTCAGAGCGTTGAGCTCCAGACTGTTCTGACTGCACCAGGACACCAGATGGTCGATCTCCCGCCTGCAGGCGGACTCATCCCCACCTGAGATGAGCCCATTGAGGGTGGTGTTGTCCGCAAACTTCAGGAGCTTGTCGGACTGGTGCCTGGAGGTGCAGCTGTTGGTGTAATTTTAGTGTTGCACTTTGCAGACTCTTGTAAGCCAGGCTGTGTGCATCATGGTAGGTGCCCTGTTCTACATTTCTGGCCCCCACCTCCACTCCTGTTTCTACGGTAATGTTTTCCGGCTGCATTTCTGTTCTACAGTACAGTTGCGAGTGGTTTAAGTATTTATCGTCTGTTGCACTGCAGTTTGTTCGGCTCCGCAGCTCTGTTTGTGCACACTATAGCCGAGAGTGAAATGAAGTATTCTTGTGTTTGTATTTTTTTTCTTCTTTCAAAGATTTTCTCCTTCGTCCAACTGGGTGTCAATGGATGTTTGTGTGTGTTTAAGTGTCCTCTGCATCAATTAGGTCCACTGTTAAGCCTATTTCACACTACACGATGTGCTGCTTGGCGAGCTCGGTGACCGCTGTGATCGGGAGTAAATCAATGGTTGATCGGCAGTCACCAGTCATTATGTGTGAACTACTCAACGACGCATCGAAACAGCTCCCCGACACATTTCTGATACATCGCCGACGTCTGCCAGATATCCAGCATGCCAAATATCTGACAGAGTCAGCCAACTCGACATCCACATCCAGCCAATGAGAGCAGGCAGCTACTTTTTCACTGCAAAACACTTCTCACCTCCAGCTCTCTCTGTAGCTCAGACAATCCCTGCTACCTGCATGTGCTAATCCATCCTTTCACCCATATTCTTTGTCTTTATAATTGCTATCTTTATAATAACAAACAACAGCAGTTTCATGTGTGCGCATTTCCTGTTTCACATTTCCCGTGTGTTTTCTTGACAAAACGTGGTTTGGAGACCGGCATCAGAGACCGGCATCAGGTGACAGAGCCGCTGTCAGCTCGTGTAGTGTGTGACCCCCTGTCACTGATCAGTCACATAGTGTGAACGCCACAACGACTTCAAGACTCCCGTCAAGTTGTTTAGTGTGAACGGCACGGCCATCGGCCGATGCTGACAGTCGTGTAGTCTGCACGAGCTTTTAGTCAATACCTTACTGTAAAGCACTTAGGGTGCCATTTGGATGGTGTGCAGTGTTCATGTGTGGTGTGTAGCATTAGGATCCTTTTCTTTTTGAATTTTATTGAGTATTAAAGTGGTTAAATTTTCTTTAATTTAACCACTTTAATTTCATAGGGGACAAAATTTGCCCAGGTGGCATTGTTGCAAGTAGGGATGTCACAAAACCAGAAATTTAGTAGTCGTTACCAATACCAGTGAAATTCCAAGATTCTTGATACCCAATCTGGTACCACAGTAAAAAACAAAACTGTAAATTGGATGCACTTCAACATACACCACTTTAATTAAAACATTTAAAAGTACATAAAAACAACAATAGCGACATGTAGCCTTCAACTAAGCTAATAAATAAAAAGGATATGGGTGAAAGGAAAATTATGAGATTTAATTTTATCGGGTATAGCTCAACATCTGTAAGAAACAAGAGGGTACACACACACACACACACACTCTACACACACTCTACTCAGAGTGCAAGCAGTAGTTTCTATGTACTGACGTGATGATAGACCATTAGTCTGGACAGTCATTTAAAAATGTTAACGTTATGTTTTGATGACAGATGACACAATGCTAATGTTATGTTTTAATGACAGATGGCAGACTGAACGGTAAGGATGGCAGTTATGGATGCGTTACGTTACGTAGCCTACACACGGTAGCCTTTATTTTAACCATTTCAAACGTCATATGTCTCATACAAAAATAATGGTTATGTTTATTTCAAGATCAGGATATAACAAGGGTTGTTAAAGTCACGTGAATTGAAACTCACACAATCTGGATGTCTGTCTGAGGTGCTTCAAGTGTTTGCTCCTTTAGTCTGAAAAGTTCTATGGCGCCGTTTGCATACTGGTTTTTGCGAATTGAGTATTACTCCCTTTCTTTTCGACGAGGCAAGATGGTACTGTCACTGCAGCTTCCCTCTTTCACGTGTTGGATCCACCGTACCTAAAAAAATAAATAATTAGTAACCTACTGACATGTTTTCAGAATTTTGCTATCGATTTGTTACTGAAGTATCACTTCCTTTGACATCCCTACAAGCTATTCCCTGCTCCTGCTACATTTGGGAGTATTGAGTAATAAATTTCATGGAAACCTACTGAGAATTACTAAACACATCTGTATGCACATTCTGCCCTGTGCAAGATAAACATATCCTCTCATCTCTTGTCTTGAAGGGCCTGGATTTGCATTGTGCCTCTGCAAGACCTTCTTCAAGGTGAACTCATTCTTCAAGCACTGTAGAGGACTTCAGGCGTTCAACAGCCTTGGTGAAATTTACATCAAAATGTGGCTGAAATGGAGAAAAACACTGCCAATAAAGAAATTTTAAACCTCACCTCATAATGGTTTTATTGAATGATATTTTTAAATAAATGTAATTAATATATACATTAGGGTGAAACTAAATATTTTTATATTTCCCTCTACTTTGGGAAACTGAGAAACAGCTGAAAAACAGGTTACTGTTTAGCTTTGTTAATACTTGAACAATAAGGGTTTTCACTGTTGTAATTAGTACTACTAGTATTTGGAGTATTGATTGTATTGATTTATATTAACTCAAAGAGCTAAAAGCTAGAAAACGTCAACAGCAGCAAAAAAATGTGCAAAAAAACACATGAATTGGGGCTGTGTTTAACTTTGCAGTCAGACCAGTACTGTAAATCCTCCTACATTCTTCATTTATTTGAAGAATTTACCTACATAAAGGGTCAGTACTGGAAAAGATGTTTTAATAATCAATAATTACACTCAATAATAATATCTCACTAAAATATCAACAAAATAAATAATATTTATTTATTAATGAAAACTTAATGAAAAACTCAGTATCAGTCATTATCATTCCCTTCCTCCTCCCTGCTGCTGATGTGATCCATTGCCTGCAGATACCGCTGGTAGAGAGGGGGTGGCTGGTTTGTCTCAGCCAGATTCACAGAAAACTACGTTACACAGTGGGACTACATACAGACACCTTTTGGTTTAGCTTCTTTGTAGTTTTTCATTATTATCTGTAGATAAAGGTTTTTTTGCAGTAACGAGCTTAGTTGTTGTCAACTCGAGTAATCTTGGCTTTAGCACATAGTCTCTGCTCCGCTCTGCTATTCGCTGACTTCGCTCAGTGTGTGTATTTGTGTAGGAGTTCAACACCAACACAGAAAGCAGGATTCCTGTATGATTTCAATGTGGATTTGTTGGCCACAATAAAACTTTTGCATAATAACAGAAAAAATAGGTATCATCAAAAGTGAGTTTTTTTTAATTTTTAATCAGAGATGCTACCTAGCAACTTCACTGCAGCTTCCAGCATGCTGGTAGCGATGACAACGCAGAAACCAGAGACTATATATTTACAAACTATAGTCATAAGATTATTTATTTTGTAATGTCTTGAACTAAACATCAAGTAGAGGTTCATACACAGAGCTGATTTTGTAGAATCAGCAATGACATGTTCCTCCTCAGCAATTAACGAGTTCTATACTACTATGCTAATCTCTTGCCTGATTTTCCAGCGTGGGTCCTACTGTTAGTGGGCTGCCAGCTGTAGACTGCAAACACACAGGGATGCACACACACAGACTCTGTCTCTGAGAGGTGAGAACTCTTAGGTGTCAAGGAGGCGCCGTGGTTGGTTTCTGTCTATGGGATCCAATGCACGTGACCTGAGGCCTTGTTTGACTGTGTAATGCAGCGAGATAATGGATAGTAATGTGACCAGTGGGATGACTGTTGACCTCAGTGGACCCTGCACACCTGCTGTTGCACTGATGGTGTTACTCAGGGTGAAGCAGATGTTTTGTCTTTCTGGGAATATTCAAAAATAAAGGGCAAGTACGACGGCAGCAGATGTTTTAATTCTATGCAATATTTTAAGGCCATTCTTTAAAACAAGTCTGACCTGTCATGTTATTGCCTTTCTGTGTTGCTATCACCCTATCAACATATATTAATTTTCCTCTCATTGCCACTACTCAACTGATGTTAGCTCTGTGCAGGAGGAAAATTCATTAAATTGTCTGACAGCCCACTTCACAAGCCAGATGGAAAACAAGTGTTGAAATAAGCACATGTGGATCTATTATATCCATATACAACAATGTTACTCAACAATCAGACAGGATCCTAAACTGTTGTTTATGCTCATGGAAAGACCTTTCTGTTTATAATTTTTTAATGCACCACTCCACTGCATTAAAATACAGAATTCATGACGTGCCCATGAAGTCATTTGATTAAAATTTGAGCTTGAATGGTTCGATCCCCTGTATGTTCAAGAATTTGTGATGTTCTTCTTATTTGTCTTCTGTATCCTTGTCTTCACTGAATGTGAAGTTTCACCTCAGCAGACCATGAGATGAAATAAAGATTGAATGGATTTTCATAGATGTATAATTGTTTATTAAGGTCCCCATTAGTTGTTACCTTGGCAACAGCTACCCTTTTTTGCTACTGTACCAAATATATACAATCAACATTTGTTTGTACTTATACTACATAGTAAGCACAGTTAAAAATACTGTAGGCCTAGTTACAATCACCATAACACCAAACATATTAAAAATACATGTGGAAAATGATGAATATACTATACTGTATATATAGTATACTCCAAAGCAAGTTAAAGAACACCTAGATGTTTCATAATCAAACAGTAATATTTAGGAATATTATTGTAGTTGTAGATTTTGAAAAGTAATATGATGTGGTGAAGACGAACAGAACCATTTTCATCTTCTAATTGTGTTTTTAAAACAGTTTTCTAACTATTAGTGATTGCCTTCTTTATTACTTTTAGTGTAGTGTAGTGTAGCTGTGGATGTTTGTGGGCTCCTGTGTGAGGTGACGGTGCTCAGTATCCACGGATGGAAGAGAGTGAGGAGCAGCCATAACAACGACAGTTACAGATAATTGGAAGCTTAAATAACTGTTCAATGTTTGATGTTAGACTTTTTTTTTCTTTTGGAGCTCCTGCAACAGAGTTCCACTTTTGCTGACTATTAAAAACGCTAACTGATTACAGGTTACATTTCGTCTTCCCACGTAAACGTCTAAACTGTCACTGTGATTAATAAAATAGTGCCTAATATCATTGTCTCATTGTCACATTTATTCAGGTAGCAGATGACTGTGTATAAGAACGCAGCCACTGTAACATCACCCTTTGGTTTATGGACCACTGTTTTCAAGTTTATTGGCACGTTGGCCGTCGCCATCTTGTTTATTTGGAACCAGTTGTGACAATATTTGGACTAGAGGGTGGAGCAGGGGGAGGGATACTCACTGTCACGTCTGGCAGGTCGCCATGGCAGCGACTTCACTTTTTAGTGAAGCAACCTGTTTGGCAGTCAGCTGAAGTCAAATGATGAGTTTCTTCAGTTGAATGGGGATACATTAGGGGGGCATTATGCATAAACAGGGTGAGAAAAAGTTTCACCAGGTCAGACATTTGCATTAGGGGTTTTTCACAGCAGACATTTTGACCCATTTAGAGTGAAGACCTGAAACTTGAAAAATGTTGTTTAAATAAACCTTTTTTTTGTTTTTAGATTACATTTCTAAAAAATAACACAACATACTTCAAACATCTCATACATATCAATAACATTTAAATTTAGATTTAAAGTTAAAAATCATTTAGGTTAGTACAGCCTGATATATCCTACTCATTATAAACTGTGTGAATGCTACTTACTCTGAAACTCTGAAACTCATTTCCACTATCAACGCAGGCATAAATAAAATAAATAACTACATTTGCAAACGAATTATGTTTTGTCCTTCGAAAACACAATACATAAATCATTCATTTTTGGAGGTTACGCCAGCTTGTGGGTCTGCAGTGACTTCCTGTTTGCATTGCTTTTGATTGGATGGCATCAGATTCCTGGTAACCGATTATCACATTATTAAAGTCTTTACTAGCTAAGACATTTCTTACGTTTTGATGGTGCAACCCGATTTAGTAAATCACAAGATTGAAACTAGCTTGTCGTAATTAGTTACTACTAGCCATCATTGATATTATTTATGCTTGTGTTTTTTCTAATGTGACATGTTAAAATGACTTCTGAACTGCTGACCTAGTCCTCGTACATACAGTACAGTCAGCAAAAATCAACATGGGTTCACCTGCTATAACAGAGGCCATTTCCTTTGCTAGCAAGCTAACAGCTAATGTACAGTTACTAAGTGGCTGTTTGCAGCAAATAAATAGAAATGGATTCAACCAGGGAGCAAAATTTGCACTAGCCACCACCCAAATGCTGGTAAAATATTTATTTCTCTCACTGGTCAAAAAACAATGGTAATCTATTGAGTGGCTGGTACACTTTGAACATTTACTAGCCATTGGCTGGAGGACAAAAAAGTTGAGTTTGCACCCAAACTATAAAATTTACGCTAATGATAGACGACAAATTTTCTTTCTGTCTGAACACACCTTTTATTTCATGAGTGGCACTACCTGTGTCAGGTGTAAAGCTTTTTATATACAGTCTATGGTGTCAAAACAATCATAGCCATTCATTGTGTTCAAAATTAGAAACAGATGTATCCAATACAGTATGTACTCCTATTTTGGAACCCATGTTTCTTCATCATGGCAATTTCTTTTTTGCTGCAAATGTTTTCACTTATTAAATATATCTGATTGATCACAGCTGATAAGCTAAGGCAGAGACAGACAGCTTTACAAAAAAATACAGAGAAAATACAGAGCTTTAACAATAGCTGTCACTTTTAATCTCAAGTCATGGTCACATCTGAGAGTCAGAGTGATGTTTGCGGATGATGATGATTCTAATACTTAAGAAGAAGAGTCACGTTTCCTAGAACATGTATAGGCTAGTCTGTGTGAAAGAGAAAATGAAGGCACAGGTAACTGCTCCACTGAAGGATGCAGAGAAATGCATTATTCTGAGAATCCACTTTCCACTCGTGTGAGAATAAGGCTAAGGAGGAGCTGTGAACTCATGTCTGGGTTCATCCAGTCCTTAAACCATTATCATGGCATCAGTTCTTGACACATCAGCAGCCACGTGCACCTCTGAGGAGCCTGTATTGTGCATATAAATCATCAAAGTAAGTTGAAAGAATATCTGGCTAACAGGGTGATGTAGGAAGTAATAGCAGCCGATAATTAATAATTTATTGCACATGAAAACAGATTCAGTCTGCAACAAAAAGCAGCTTCTGAGAGGTTCATGATCAACAAAATATATGAAGTTTTACTGTAGGAAACACCAATATTTTTTCTCCTCATGAGTAGGCTTACAGGACATGAACTGATGGGGAACATCAACTCAGTCAAGGTTGAGGTACAGCAAAGCCTGGAAACATCTTGTGGACGGATGTATGGTGCTACACAGTCAGTGGAAATAGTAATGTGTAAGATGTGCAAAATGTTCCACCAATGAATTGAGTTTTGCAAACATACATCTACACATGGCTCTTGGAATTGAGAGCATATGGACACATCAGGAGATAAAGCTTAGGTAGGTTAACAGTTTGCATATTAATATTACTGATCATGTTTTTAATAACAGTGGGTGACTGTTAAAGCATTAAGATATAACACTATTTCACACACTAACACTATTTTCAATACAAAACATTCTGTTCACAACAGCACATGAATATTGTTGCTGTTACAAAAAGCAAAGTTCAACATTTTTGGAAATGTAGATATTCAGTTTCTTGCAGCGATTTAGATGAGATACACTTATGTTCAGTATGCAGCGCCTAGGTAACTTAGCATAAAGACGGGAAACGGGGGAAAACAGCTAGTCTGGCTCGGTCCACAAAATTCACTTACCAGCACCACCTTACCAGCAAGTATAAAACGACAAGTTGTTTCCTGTTAACTGCCTCTCCTGCTCCAGTTGCTTGGCTTACAAAAGGTCAAAGGTGTTAGGGACAGATGTCTTTGCCTTTCTGAATCTCTGGAGCAGAAGCACGTTAGAGAAGGGCATTTCTTTTCTTATATAAAACAGGTGGTCATCACTGTCATCATTCAACTCAACATCCACACATTTAATTTAAATGCAGGAGAACAGCTGCCTCTAATGCACTGATGCATTGCTTTTTACTTTCTTCAGTTTGAGGCTTGATGTTTATCTTAGTTCCTGTTTGTATAACTGTCTCTGCAACGATGAAAACCACAGGTGAGAACATAATCGTGCAACACAATACCTGCAATACCTGGCTTACGGACTGTTGATTTTCATGGCAATTTTATCTCAACGGATCATAGTTGTGACTGTGGAGACTCATTTCCTTCTTCTAGCTAAATGTAAACTATCCATTGGATAGGTGCAGGTGTTTTGTCACTCGTGCAAGAGGTAAAACATCAGGTCTTCTGAATATGGATTCCATAAGAGATGATCCGCTATCGAGCAAAACCTGGGTGTACTTTGAAACTTGCACCATAGAGCAGAGAAATTGCTAAAAAATAAAAAATAAAAACCAGTTTAACAGAGAAAACCAAACTAAAACAGAAACCATTCCTCCTTCCCACTGTCTCTGAAAAATACATTTCTGTATTTTTCCAGCCTGGGGACACACTGAGGCAACAGTTAATGTAGTTCGCTTGAAGGACTGCATACCTTAACATCTTTGAATCAACTACATTTGCAGTGAAGCGCAGTGAGGAGTGTCCGGATGTCTAAACTTGCACAACCCAAACAAACTTTCCACAGACACACTGGCACACCATGGATAAGCAAACACCTCAGGTCAGGACAGCAGGTGTTCACCAATTCACAGTGAAAAGAGATCTGAACAAGGTGTAAAAGAGGAAACGTTCACTGATGTACAATGACATATTGTCACAAAACTTACACACTGTAAAAATTATCTAGGTGGTTCAACTTAAAAACTGAAGTTCAATTGCTGCCTTAAAAATGTGAGTAAACCCAACTTTAAGAAAAGCTTTGTTTCAACTTATGATGTTACGTTATACAATTTGTTTAATTAATGATCATTTATTGTTTGAACTTAATACTGTGAGTTAAAACAACTATATATATTACATTGTCCATTCAAGGAAACTTACTTTCTCTTGTCAAACAAACATACAATTCTACACCCTTTCAACTCACATTTTTAAGTTCAGATAACTAAATATAAGACATTTCAAGTTAGTTTTACTTGGAAATGCAAGTTCACCTGCTGCCTTGAAAAAGGTAAAATGGAAAGTATGTTTCAACTCATAATTTCAAGTTCATAAAGTTGATATAACTACAGTGTTCTAGTTGTCTCAATTCGTTAAATGATCTTTTTATGAGTTTGAGTTATTCTAACTCATATTTTCAAGTTAAAGCAACTTATCCAAATTAATACTACTGTCCATTTCAAGTTAAGGAATTTAAATTTATCTCAATATACATCTAAAGGGCCTTGAATACAGACCACAACATCAGCACCACTGTGCTATTATATTATCTTCAATGATGCAACAGGGCAGGGCAGTTTGTTGGTGCACCTGTGCAGGCCACAGTCAAAGTTGAAAATAGCAGTAGATGTCACTTCCTTTCTGAAAGGGCCTTAAGGCTGTTGTCAGGAACCCTTTCCACCGGTGGCACTAGTCTTGTTTACCATAGATATTCTATAGATATTCTATATAGACTATATTTCGGTTGGAATTTGAATATATGACTTATCTGCAGTGTATAATTAGCTAATTAGCAGGGGTGAGCAAGAACACCACTATCTCTATCTGTATCTGTTAACAAATAAAAATGTCTGTATCTGTACTCAGAATGGGCGTGGCTTAATATATAAGTGGGCAATTAACTCAACATTTATTCATTTTATCCAAAGCTACTTACAATTGCTATATATGTCAGAGGCCGCACACCTCTGGAGCAACGAGGGGGTAAGTGTTTTTCTCAGGGACACAATGGCAGTTGTGTCACAGTCGGGGATTGAATCCCGGTCTCTCACGCCAAAGGCATAGTCTTAGCCATTGCGCCATCGCCAAGCTGTTTAAGCCTGAAATTTGTACCAGAACTTGCTATATTTATTAGAAAACTATTTACAGAACAGCCTCAGAATTGAGCTTCAGAGCAATGTTTTTGGTCACAATAGTAATTGATTTTTTTTTTTTTTTTTTTTAAGTTTCCTATATTTATAGTTTATAACAAAACAGATATTGACACATTTTACTCTGATGATACTGAAAAAGTCGCTACTCGCTAAACCCTAATAATTAGTTGATTATGTATATGTTTTCTCAAACTCAAAAGATGCAGCACTTAGGCAATTTATTTTCTCTTTCTCCAATCCTCGCACTCGCCTTTTTTTCAACTTATAACTTACATACGTAAGTTCAATCAACAAGACAAAAGTGTCAAATAGTCAACACAATGAATTAATGCAAGTTTAACTTTCTAACTCATACAGTTGAGTTCAAACTCCAAAACTTGTCAGAGCTATTTGAGTTAAAAAGAAGTAGTAAGTTGACATAACTAAATGGGTCTATGATTTTTTTCAATGCATACATGAAATTTATTACATTACATTTTATGTAACATAAACACAAAGCATTTAAAAAAAATCATCAATACACAATATCCACTACACTTTGTGTAGACAAGATTTATATAATCAGTAGCTGTATTTCAGATTAGTGTCCACACACGAGCTAAATGTGAATGAAAAACACATCTTACAAACACATTTGTAATGTGCTTACATATCACATTTTGCCTTATATGACCCTAACCCATTCATTCTAATCCCTGTATTGTAGTTTTTCAGATGTTTTATTGCCATTTAGGTACCTGCCAAGCCATTTACATTAAGGATCTTTGCAATTTTTCTACTAGTAAGAGAGGCCAGATTTCCTTTCCTCCAGTGTTCATGTATTTGCAATAATTTCAGAATACTGAGCAACAATATTTTACAATATGCAAGAGGTGTGCAGAGACATTAAATCAGTTGTCCTCACCCTTCTTGCATGGGAAGACTGCCTCCTTCTGGCCATCGGGATGAAGTGAAGGTTAAAAAGTAATTTTCCTGGTTACAGTGTGCAAAAAACTACCAGTAAAACAAGACTTAGTATATACTCTCAAAGTTACTTATGAATGATAACAAATAATCAGTGAGATTCTGTAGAAAAGAATGCACTACCCAATCAAACATACACTCTCTTAGAAAGCTTTGTTAAAACATGATGAATGCTGTGCTGCTGTCAAGTGGGGAAGTTTGTATTTAAAGTGCCTTTGCGTCAAAATACACTTTCAGATTTATAGTCAAACCAAACAATTAGTCGGCTGACTTCCTCCTCTCCAGTTACGAATCAGTGACACATTCTGTTTTTTAGGAGCATGAAAACACAAACTCCTGTCTTCCCAGAGAAGACACTTTCCCATTGGCTCTCAAATGCAAGAAAATAGACAGACATGTTAAAAACCGAACTTACCCACTCAACAGCAGCTTTCTACAACAACTCATACAAACAGCATGCATTAGGTTGGATAAAACATAGTCTAACGCATCTAAACCATAAAAATATCTTGCCTCGATCATTGGCTGATTTCTGTTTTTGTTTTTTCACATTTCAACATTTCCAAATACAATCTGGAAACAAACCAGAAATCAAAACCTGACCTGTTTGTTTCATTTATGTCATAAATTTCACAATCATGATTTCCAAAATCATACAGAACCACTGCAGTTTGACCATGCTTCCCGATGACCCTGGTCCCTCAAACGTAGGTATCTCTAGGTATTGAGTGGAGATATACTTTGTGGCAGAAGGCATCCACAGTGAGCAGTTATAAGGCTTGCTCGGGTTTCCTTCCTGTACATCTATTGTACTCAGGATATTGTACAATCCATGCTGGTCCTGCTCTTCCTGTGTGCTGGCAGAGTCCGTTAAGTCAACATCTTCCTGGAACCAGTGGACGGTGCCAATGGGGTAAACTCCCTTGAACCAGCACTCAGCATGAGAGTTATTGATGGAGGAACCAGAACTCCCAAAGCAGTCTGTAAAGATCCAGACGTTTAGAAAGCTTTTAAAAGATTCGTATTTTTTAAATAATAAAATTTAACTCACCTTCTACTGTAACATCTGTTTTGTCAGATTTAACTCCCTGAGTGGTTCTTAGTTTGCAGAGGTATCTTCCCTGGTTGGTCGGCATCACGTTGCGGAGAGTCAGACTGAGTCTATGGTGGGTAGTCTCAGCCATGCTTTCACACAGAACTTGGGGGTCATGTTGTTTGTGTTGATATTGACATCTGCTGAATTGTGTTTTGTTTATAGCCAGCCAGGAAAATAATTGAATATCCAATTTTTCTGATGATGTGGCCTCACAGGTCAGTGTCACATTTTTTCCACACTGTGCAGCCACTTGGGAAATGGTCTTTAGCTCCAAACCATTACTGACTGAAATATCGGGGAGAGGGGTTAAAGAACATAACTGATGACTGATTGCTGCAAATAACATCATTTATATATTTTGCTTACAATGTATTATTATTTATCACTCTAGTGTGAATATTCTAAAGTTTCTTTTTTTCCTTAAAGTAGTCTGTAGATATTCAGTCTCTGGGTTACAGTGGATTTGAGTGTGCTGTTCGGTAAAGTAGTTTTAGGATTGACTTAAAGGAATAGTTAGACATTTTGGGAAAATATGCTAATTCGACAGCTAGAAAAAAGACAGATACCACTCTCATGTCTGTACGATAAACGTGTAGCTGAAGCCAGCATCCAATTAGCTTAGCTAAGCACAAACACCAGAAACAGGCTGAAACAGTTTTCCTGGCTCTGTCCAAACGTAACAGAATCCACCCACCAGCACGCCTAAAACTCACTATGTAACCAGTAACACTTAACAATAAGGGACACAACATTTTGAGTAATTACCAGGGAACAAATAAGGAACTAACTGCTAGTGAATCATTACCTAAAGCCATTGAATGGCAATTTATTTGTGAAGCATTTTTTGTTATATTTGGTGAAATTCTCTTTACATCCTGACAGCAATCAATAAATCAAATGCTCTAACACAAAAATGAATATAATGAGAATGGCCAATGGTTTCATTCAGTCGATTGGATACTTTCAAAATCTAGCTCTCTTGCTAGTTCTCCAATGTTGCCTTCCCCAGCTTTAATGAGTTTTTGTTAATGATTAATTAATTAAAAAACGAGTGAGGAACAAATCAGGAACAAATAGATTTTTGATGAATCATTAATTATACATTTCTAATGGAAGACTGGATAGTAGATAATGATGAGTTACTAGAGAACAGAGTGGGATGTATTAATGAATCATTAGGTAATGATTAGTTCATGAATATATACTGATCCCTTTTTTCATGAGTTGTTCCTGATCAACATAACTAGTAACAACTTATTCATTACTAATTACTCAAACGTGTTTTTGTGCAGCCCAAGTAAAGTAGTGCATAATACTGAGTAGTTACTAAGTAGTCTCTCATTACTTCATCATTATCTTATGATTACTATCTCTTTTTGCATTCCTTCAAGTAAAGTGGTGCACCATACTGAGTAGTTACTGAGTGCTGAATCATTACTTCATGCAGAGTTACCGTAATCAGGAACGACTCATGAAGAAAGTGGCCAGTATGAGCGATTTACAGATAATCATTAACTAAACATTACCTAATGATTCATTAATATGGGATCTTCCAGTCTGTTTTCAAGTAACTCATCATTATTTACTATATAGTCCTCCATAAGGAATTATTAGGGAAGTACTTATTAACGATTGATCAATAATCATCTCATTCAAGATTCATTTCTCATTCATTTCTTAATTAACTAATCAGTTACTATAAGTTAATATCAGTAACTATCAGTTACTTTCTCATTCGTTTCTTATTTGTTCCTTATTTGTTCCCTGGTAACTACTTACAATGTTGTGTCCCATATTGTAAAGTGTTACCTTGTAACCTTTAAAATCAGTTTACAAAAGCACTTCTAGTGAACATGTCTCTTTGTGCACAAAGCCTCACCAGCAATGCTGACTGCTGAAGTGAACCAGATGATGGAAACCCAGCCAAAAACATGCCGCGTCCTCACACCAGAGGAAAAACTCATCACTTTGATCTGTATTAAAATCAATATTTATCTCATTAGATGAACCAGATAAAAGCTGTACACGTAGAGCCTCTGCATGAGGTGAAATAAGTTTCTCTGCACTCACCATGGTGTTGCTCCTGAACACACGTCTAAGAAAGGTCTTTTCTATGGTGCTAAAGTTTAGGTCCACTTCATTCAGTGTGTTAGCGCTCAAGAGGATATGCTTTATGAAAGAACATTCTTCAAGTCATCCTCAGTATTTCACAAGAGAGGTGTTCACTTGAGCATGATCAGACGTGCCCTGGAATGAAATTAGGACACAGCACTTAGAGTGAAAGTTACTACTAGGGGAGCAAAGCAAAAGTGATGAGTGAATGGCATGAGGTTGACTGAACTGAGGTAAGAAAGTATGATAAATTAGAGAACAAAGAAGACAAGAAGCCTTTGTCGGGCCCCTTGAGCAGCCCGAACAAGAGACATACATCGATAAGTGTTTATAGTTTGGAGAAGGTTCCTTTTTTGACAGGTTTGTGTGATACTTCTTCTCACTCACAACACTGGAAAAAGGTGTGACCTTACATCAGAGCAGTGCTGGGAGAATTTAATTTTAACTTAATAGCAGCTTTGGCAACATTGAGGCATTTGAGTTTGTTAGATTACGAATTTACAACTCTAAATTTTCTCTGTTCTCTAGGGATCGGCTGTTTATTCGAGAATAAGTTTTGCTGGGTCCTGACTTTTCCTTCAGGCAGCAGACACTAAAACTCTGTTCAATGCAGCTCACTTTTACGGAGCTGTCACAGCTTGGCCTGGAATGTGGCTGTAGTGCCAAAACACTGTAGGCAGTAATTACATGAATAAAAAACAAGAATAAAAGGCTCATTTTCAACATCCTGCTTCTACAGTAGCTACAAGTTTTTTGTGTCCTAAAAGTCTTGTGAATGGCAAATCAGAGAGAAACCGTGCCATTTTTTTAATTTAATATAACTTTTAAAAATCAAATTCAGTACTTTTGTAGCATCTGCTGTTTGGTGTTGGGTTCTTTTGCTCCTTTTCTTACTTTAATTTAACAGATTTTAGCCTCACTGAGAACCCGGAGGTTCAAACGTAATTATGATTGACAGCTACTAAGCACCATACCAGATCATCAAAGTGTTATACAGGACCTAAAATGTATCATGTATTGATCATACAGCCTGCCAAACATTATACAACAACAAACATGCAGCCATAAACATAAACACACAGCAAGACTGAACTGTCTTACCTTGAACCAGGTGATTTGTACTGCACAAAAACATCCACATCATTAAAATCCAAGGCTAATCTGTTTATTTCATTGTCCTGGCTCTAAGACTCTCTATTTATATGTCCCAACTTGAAAACTAGCAATGTGTTTGAGTGTCCAGAATTTTAAAACTCACTGGATGAGAAAAATACTGTAACAGCACCTTAAATGATCAACTCTATATTTGACTGGTATCCAGTAAAGAGAGGAACATATGGTGCCTCTTCCTCGTACCAGTCCGTAATCTAGCAGCCACATTCTGAACAAGCTGCAAGCGTGATAATGATGAGTGACAAATTCCAGAGTACAAAGAATTGCAATAATCAATTCAGGACAATAAGGTGCATGTTTAACAATCTCCAGGTCTTAAAGAGAGAGGGAGGATTTAGTTCTGCAATAGTCCTCAGAGCTACCTTGGACAACAGAATTCATTTGTTTGGTAAATGTTAATGCTGAATCAAAGATAACACAGATTTCTTGCAAAGGGGTGCACATTCATGGACAAGGGTGCCAGATTTTTAGATCTAGTTTAGATTTAGTTCCTCAATTGACTTTGGGGTGCGAAATAGTATAGACTTTAATCTTTAAGACACCTGGTTTTAGTGGTAAGTACAGATGTGTATCATCAGCAGAACAAGTTAAACTACTTTTGCTGGAGGCAATCCAGGAGGATGACATTATCAGCAGTATCAAAAGCAGCACTAAGGTCAAGCAAGAGTAAAATAGAACAATTTCCAGAATCACTGAACAGAAACAAATCATTCAGTACCTTAACAAGTGCTGTTTCTGTGCTACGGTGTACTTAAAAATAAAGAGAGCCGAGAAAGAATGACCTTGGTCTAGATTGTGTTTTTTAATAAGAGGAAGAACCTTGTTGATAAAGACACTCAGAGTCTTTCATAATTTCTAAAGTAACATTAGGGAGTCACTTTAATGATGGGTCTGACTGTTTGCAGTGGTATTGGAGCTGTTAATGCTGGAGCACTTACTGGAAATGCAAACTGCTGCTCTTTCACATTAAAAGCATTTCATTGACAAAACTGGTTGGCTCTTATTGTGAAGCAGACACTGGAAAGGCAAACTTTAGTAAAAAGCAAGTAAAAAAGAAGCAACTCCAGATGGGCCTCATTTACACCTGATATTAACATGTGAACTGTATCTGGATAGGTCACCTGGATAACGACATCCGATCCATAGGCCTTTGCAATCACACCTGGTATTAAAATACATTCTCGCTATCTTTGTGATCGGATCTCAATATGCAAATTAGTTTAGCAAGGTTACTGGCTAGGTAACGTTACTGCTATTACCACCTGTACCTTTTGCCAGGTTTGCACGAGGCAGAGCTATGTGACCTTTCAACTTATGGATTTTATTCTGCAAGAATGTGATCACACTGTGCAGATTGCACATATGCTTGGCTGACATCTGATCTCATAGCGAACCTGACCACCTCCAAATGTGGTCTGGCCGTCCATTCACATCCAGTCACATTCCTATATCAGTGCACTCTGCATGCATTTCCACCTGGCATTAACATGCGTTTTTCATGTTAATGCCAATTAGAAAAGATTGCCCCCGAGATTTTCCTAGTGGACTAGTAGTTGTTAGTTCAAGCCATTAGTTGACTACTGTCTCATGTTTATGATATTAATTTAATTATTTAAATATATACTTTTGGAGCGTCAATAAGTTGTTTGAGTTCCAAGGCTGAAAAAGAAACTGTGCTACATTGCAGAGAAATACAAAACCAAAATAATGAGCCTTTAAAATACCTCAGCACTGTATACCCTGTCGTCAAACTTGCCTTCATCTACATCAGAGGCTGTTCCATCCTGGTGCATATTCACTGGGAAGTCTATGAAGATTCTCAGTCATCCAGGTCATAGTTATCCAACGAAGGTTAAAGTCAAGGGCAACTGGACTTGGTTGAAGATACTGGAAGACGTTTCGTCCCTCATCCAAAGGACTTCTTCAGTTCTGACTGACTGGCAGGGAAACTCAGCTATTTAACCTCACTGGGGTCGTTTGCCAGGGTCATCGATACCGCTGGTTCGTTAGTGTTCCTGGTTGCTGTAACGACAGTCATTACAGTCGTTAGGACTCCCGGTGGCCAAGACTGAACGACCATCGTCCTGGGAGGTGATGAAAGGACAGCATTGTAAGTGAGGGATACTAAGTGGTGGCGTAGTCCCTCTCCCCTGTTCAATGACGGCTTCTCAACCCTGGTGTAGATGGCTTCCTTGACATCTCTTTCAAACCATCCATCTTCTCTGTCTAAAATGTGCACCTGGTGGTCCTCAAACGAGTGTCCTCTGTCCTTCAGATGTAAGTAGACTGCAGAGTCTTGACCTGAGGAGTTGGCCCTTCTGTGTTGAGCCATGCGTTTGTGTAGTGGTTGTTTAGTCTCCCCAATATACAGGTCTGTGCATTCCTCACTGCATTGGACCGCATACACTAGATTGCTTTTCTTGTGTTTGGGTGTGCGGTCTATGGGGTGTACCAGCATCTGTCTTAGTGTGTTCTTGGGTTTAAAAAACACAGGGATGTTATGTTTGTTGAAAATCCTCTTGAGTTTCTCTGATACTCCAGACACGTATGGAATCACAATGTTTTTGCGTTTGACCTTCTTTTCCAGCCCCTGTAGTTTTGTTCTTCTTGGATCTTGTGGCTGTTCACTGGGAAGCTACTGAGCCTGGTTCCGTTGCCTCTTCGCCCGGTCCAGTTCTGGTGCTCATTCTGGCACTGCTTGCCGGTGTTGTGCCGAATTCTGCATGCCTGCCAAGAATTGCATGCACCTCGCGGGTGATAACAGTTATTGATGTTGAGAAAAGAGGTGGATCCACCTCTTTAGGTCCTTTTCAGACACTCCAAACACGGTTATCACCAAATATATTTACTGAATGTTAAGAAATAGTACTTCTACTAAGTGTATTAAAATATTCGTTCAAAAAATATATACTTTCAATCATTTATCACCATTGATGAACCCCACAAAGAATATTATAGCATTTAAAAGCAGTATTTGGAGGTGCATTCAATTCTCGGCAGGAAGACAAAACTCGGCATAACACCGGCAGCATTCCCCACTGGTACCTTCGCCTCAGGCCTGAAAACCTCTTCCTCTCAGCCGTCCAAAGGTCCTGTGCTAGCAGTGTAATGTAAATGTGTAAAGCTAATGGCACAGAATGGCGTGGATGAATAATAAGTTTTTCTAAACAACCAATTCTGGGTTCCAATACTACATCCAGGCAGTGCCTGCAGTTAGCAGCAGGTGATTTTTTCCCCCTAGGATGGCGGAGGCATGACCCATCCGACTCTACCTCTGATTGGCTAGTACTCGTTGCCTTTGTTGGTTAGATTGGTTAGATTTATGCAAGAGGAGTGAGATTGGTTAGGGTATGAACATCAAGGTAAGCCAATCAGAGGCAGGGTAAAGGTTATGGTAGGCTAGTAGGGCGGGTCATGCCTTTACCATCCCAGGAAAAAAATGTTGCGACTACATGGATGCTTAACAAGAGCTGAAAACAGCATTGTAGGGGGTCTCCATTCATTACTATGACAGCTGCTCAGTAGCACATAAAGCCAAAAATATAAATTTCCTGGACATTTTTGTGTAGCCCCATAGGCGCAAGTGCACTAGTGTTTCCATGAACCCCGACTCATAGAGCAAGTGCACCAGAGACTTCTGTTAACTTCAGGTTTCGCCCTTCAGTAACTTCAATGAGGATAAAATTATTTAATCATTCCAAATGGTTTTGGACCAAGTAGATCAAATTCAGATAGTGAAACTAGTCACTTTGGGGGGTTGTCACTTAAAAAAATGTATCTGTATGTTATACAGGCCCTTCTTTCACAATGTAAATCTTTGGGAAAATGTCTCCTGGGTTCAGTGTGCATCACGTGATGGAGCTGAAAGTTATAATTCCAAGGTTTGTCTTCAGGTTTTTGCTGGTGATTACCTAAAGATACAGTGCATTTACATACA